AAAAAAAGAAAGAAAGAAACATAGAATGTTGCAGGCATTCTAGAGTACCCTTGCAAGATCTAAATCTTACCTGGGGAGCTGGCCAGTTATAGATCATAGACATCATCTCTCCTTTATCCTTTGCACTGAAATACATCCCACGAGGGCGTCTAAATAACCCTGAGCAATTTTGACAAACCAATCCTACATTAGGAGTGTATATTATTGGAGCAAAATGTTTGATGTTATTCATTAGGACCTAGAGCAAAAAGAAAAGCAGGAAACCCTCAGATGATTCCAAATTTAAAAAATGCACATAAACACTACAAGCTGAGCGGTAAAAGTCAGGTTCCGTTCCGTTGGGGTTACTAAAAATAGGAAATTCCCGCTTTTGACTTCTGCTTAGCGGAGATTTGTGGGCTCCCCACTCCTCCATGAGTCCGTCGATTTTTTGCTTAATAAAAGTGGTTTTTTGGAACATCTAATTAGAAACTTGTTATATAGATAGTTTCATGGATAAATATAATTTTTATATCTTATTTAAAAAAAATACATTGAATTAAATAAAATAACAAATTATTAAAGTACATAATAAAGAACTTAGGTCCCTTGTAGTTTTCTTCTTCTTTTAGCAGTTAAGCTACTCAATGCATCTTCCATCTAATTGTGCACCACCATTGTCGAAACTTTACACGCTCAAACCCCACCTAACAAACTAAATTTCTCATTTTTTTAAGAAGCAAAATACTTATAAAAGCAATTAGGATCTCAAGCCTGTAACACCCATATGTATATAAGTTATATCCAACCTGCTAATTTGTCAACAAGTATTGCTCAAAAAGATGCTCCATGTATATAAGGCAAGCCAACTCAAGTTATCAAAATGACAATTCTGCATTGATTGTAAGCTTTAAAAAATTCATGGATACATTTCTGCATCAGATAAATGGCAATACATGATACTAAAATCAGCAAAATCATGTAAGGCATAAACATACTGCTAACAATCAACAATAAGGAATTAAAAAGTGAAAATTTTAGACCTCAAGCTCAGCAGATTTCATAGC